GCCACCTGGGGCCCCCCCTGGCTCCTGCAGGGCGCTGCCCACCTCAGCTCTGCCCCCATCACAGGGGCACAGACCTGGGCTGGGCACAGAAATGGCCTCACCAGCCTGACCTGCCCGCTGTGGGGGAGGAGGCCGAGAGGCGACCCCTGAGTCCGCCATCTTCTGAGGTCCGAGTCCAAGGTCCAGGCCGAGCCGGGCGGGACCTGGGGAGGAGAGAGCAGCCCCGGGCGCGGCATTTAGGAGGCTTCCTCTCTCGGGCGCCAGCCCTGCACTGGCACGGCCCTGCGGACAGATAGCAGACGCCTGTTGAATGCTGCACCTCCGTGTCCTGTGTCCCCACCTGGCCACACCCGGCACCAGCCACCGATGTCCCCACAGGCTGGGAGGGTGGGCGAGGGGTGGGAGTGATTTGGAAATTTGGCTTTGCTGGCAGCGTGCGTGGGGCTTACAGCGTGGCTGTGGGATCAATCAGATAGACCCAGGCTCACATTTCAGCTCGGCCCCCTTGGGCTGTGTGGCATGGACACAACCTTAACCCCTCTGAACACACCTCCTCGTTTGCATAAGCGGGACACAAACTCGGTTACAGGGTCATCAGAGGACAGCACTGCCCGGATGCCACGTGCTCGGAGCGATGCCTCCCAGCTGTGAGTGGTCAGCACGGCGTCACGTGGCTCACTCTGGTGAGCACGATCGGGGACTGGAGGCAGGAAGTTGAGGAGACGGCTGGCCCGGGCTGTGTCCTTATCCCTGGGGCCGGGGGGGCACAGCCCCCCAGCAAGTGAGGGGCTTGGAGAGAATAGCTCACCCAGAGAGATGGCCCCATCGAGCCTGTGGGTGATGGCAATATTGATGGTGATGATGATAGAGTGGTGGTGATGGTGGTGGTGGTGGTAGTGGATGGTGGTGGTGGTGATGGTGGTAATGGTGAGTGGTGGTGATGGTGATGATGGTGGTAGTGGTGATGGTGGTGGTGGTGATGGTGATGATGGTGATGATGGTGATGATGATGGTGGTGATGATGGTGATGATGGTGATAGTGATGATGGTGATGATGGTGATGATGATGGTGGTGATGATGGTGATGATGGTGATAGTGATGATGGTGATGATGGTGATGATGATGGTGGTGATGATGGTGATGATGGTGATAGTGATGATGGTGATGATGGTGATGATGATGGTGGTGATGATGGTGATGATGGTGATAGTGATGATGGTGATGATGGTGATGATGATGGTGGTGATGATGGTGATGATGGTGATAGTGATGATGGTGATGATGGTGATGATGATGGTGGTGATGATGGTGATGATGGTGATAGTGATGATGGTGATGATGGTGATGATGATGGTGGTGATGATGGTGATGATGGTGATAGTGATGATGGTGATGATGGTGATGATGATGGTGGTGATGATGGTGATGATGGTGATAGTGATGATGGTGATGATGGTGATGATGATGGTGGTGATGATGGTGATGATGGTGATAGTGATGATGGTGATGATGGTGATGATGATGGTGGTGATGATGGTGATGATGGTGATAGTGATGATGGTGATGATGGTGATGATGATGGTGGTGATGATGGTGATGATGGTGATAGTGATGATGGTGATGATGGTGATGATGATGGTGGTGATGATGGTGATGATGGTGATAGTGATGATGGTGATGATGGTGATGATGATGGTGGTGATGATGGTGATGATGGTGATAGTGATGATGGTGATGATGGTGATGATGATGGTGGTGATGATGGTGATGATGGTGATAGTGATGATGGTGATGATGATGGTGGTGATGGTGGTGGTGGTGGTCATGATGCTGGTTGCTAAGACTTTGGGGATACTCACTCATTTACCTAAATTACCCCATTCAACCCTAATGAAACCTCTGATGTAGGCATCATTATTTTTCCCAGCGTTGAGTCCCGTGCCAGGTGAAGGGGCTGCTCATGTGGACACGAGTCCAAGGGCAGCAGGAAAAGCGGGTGGGAGGGTGTCAGGGGGAGGGGGGCGCCTGGCAATTCTGAGGCTCACAACCACCCTGTGAGGCTGGATTGCGGCTCTGCCTCCCTGCAGATAACGAGGCCCCGGGAGGGAGGGCGACTGCCTGCGGTCACACAGCTGGGGTGGCAGAGGCAGGTGCGACCTCGGGTGGCCTCCAGCTCACAGTTCTCACAGCAGAGAGGCCAGCGCTCGGCAGGCGAAGGTGGCTGAGCCTCCCAGCCCTGTCCCGGGAGCCCACAGGCCCCTGGGGAGACCAGCTCCCAGTCAGGCAGGTAATCTGACAGCGGGAGGAGCAAGGAGGCCCCCCAGCCCAGAGGTCTCGGAGACTCCCCAGAGCGGGAGCATGTGGCCCTGGGGAGTCAGGGGAGGTGGGCAGGGTGGGCCGGGGAGCCCCGCAGGCCGGTCTCGCACGTGCTCCCTCACCTCAAGGCCCATCCCAGGCCCCCAGACCGGCCCGGCCACACAGAATACCGGCCTCAGCAGCCACCTCTCCCAGAACTATTTTTAGAACCAATTCGGCTCTAAACGCAAACACGTTGTCAAGATAATGGCCAACTTGGACCCCATCCAGGAGCGGGCCCCTCTGAGACACCAAAATAGAAACGCCTGGAGCGGTGGGTGCCATGGACTGCGGGCGGAGGCAGCGACTTCCCGCGACGAGGCCAGGTCGGGCCTCCGCAGCCCTGGCACGGCCCAATGTATCGATGCTTCCTACCCAAATACAGTAAAAATGCCAGGAGCAGGGAGCATACATCTCAGCAAAAGACAACTTCATACTGGGCCCAACTGCAGGGGGCGGGCACGCAGACAGGCGA